GAAGTGAGAGGAAACTATCAAAATAGATCTTACGTTTACAGTTAGAAATTTCCATAGTAAAATGAAGTTTAGCTTCCAATCTACTTCTAGATGTAAATTCCTGCAGTCGATTTACCAAAGAGGAAAGCTTAGAACAATACTCATAAAATATATTTGTAGAAATGGTAAAGGACGCTACATTATCGCAATGAGAAAGTGACTGAAGACGACATGTCACGTCAGGACAATTAATAGGTTATTTCTTAGATTTTTGTCAAGACTCTCTAGATAGATATCAGAAGCACCAGGCCAGATGTAATAACAATATTCAACGAACGGACGAATGGTGGACTTTCAAAGCAGATTTGGGTGAGAAAAATGTCTAGCTCAACACAGTAAAATAATTTTCGTAACAGCAGGATCTTAGCAATTGACTCACTATAATCCATCCACTTCATATCAGGGGAAATATTAAATCGAGAAGATGCAATGAGTTACCCATTTGAAGTTAACAACAGTCATGCTCATGAAAGGCAAAAATTGTTTAAGACGGGTAAAAGAGATCAGTTTAGTTTTTGAGGCTTTAAAATTAGCAAGTTATTTATAGCCTTAGTTGACCACAGATTGACGGTCATTTCAGTGTTGAGGCAAGTAAGTCGGACAAGTTTCGGAAGAATCTAGCAGGAAGAACGCGTGCCAATAAATCTGCTCCAAATAAGCGGTTTTCAAAAGTCCATGTCGCCACACTTGATGCCTTTTTTGCTTGGCTTTTAGCTATCGTGGTTGTGCGGTCTGCAACGGTTGCCTTTACAAAACGTCAGTTTTGCTGGGCGACTGATCTACAAGTTTAGGAAGGTTCAATTGACCACACTTCCCAATATCGAAACCTCAGCGATGCATTGCATTTAGCATCCACAGCAGAGGTCCAAAGTGAACTTTCATCCTCTTGATGATCCACAAACCAATCTCTCTTAAACGGTTGTAATTAAACAAAAGGAGAACGTGTGCGTCTGCTAAACGTGAACTTTTCCCGTACTCGACTCTTTGAGTAGAGTAAATGTTATTGAAGTATGCGGAGTCCAAACCTGAAACACAGAGGACACACCTACATGTGTGTTACTACATTACAATATGGCCGAAGACATTGGAAGTGTTATCAGAATATCAACAAATATACACATCTACTTGTTAAATTTCTCAGAATAATTATGAAGATAAGACAATTTGGATAAAAAGAAGACAATTGGAAAATATATTTCTTAGTCATTGCCGACGCTCAACCCAACTTTATCAAGGGAATTTTAAAAGCAAAATATTTTTTTAGTTACATGAAATTCGAAATATAAAGAAGGCTTACACAGGAGCGCCCCCTTTATATTTTGAATTTAATGTAACTAAAAACATTTCACTTTTTAAACTTGCCATGATAAAGTCGGATTGACGAAACGCGTCGGCAATAACTATGAATCACATATACTTCCAGATCAAAATCGGCTTGTCTCACGAGGTGTGGCAATTTTATTATCTATCAGATAATGCGAAAACAAAGATAGCAAATATAGATTTCGAAACGTTTCAATAACAGATGTACGTTACTTAAATAGGTTAATAGAATCTTGCTTTACAGTAATGGATTCCTGTAGTTTAATAATAAAAGCACGCCTGTAATGACGTAAAATTTTCAGATTAAAAAGGAATATCAGTTCAGTTCCATTCGAAAAGCACATTTTGTTATCAGAACTTCCATATCTAGGTTGATAGATACTAATTTTGCTGCTTAAAAACAACGACGTAGACTTATACAAGGATACCCACTAAAACAGGAGGTTTATAGTAATAAGGTATAAATAAAGTGATCAATGAATACATACAGAATATATTATACACATGCGATAACTAGCCTTTTCTCTCATCCACTGTATTTTCAGTCGTAAATATAAGACATACGCACGCTTAATTACAGCAATCTTATAAATCTTTAAAGTTCTAGAAACATTTCGTATTGCATATAGCCTATCATGGTAAGTTTTTTTGGTTTTTAAGTAAATCGGATTAAAATGTAAGAATCGTCTTTTTTTTTCGTCTGTTTTGTCTCTGATATATTTGGAATTAAAAAGTCAATATTGTTTTTTTGTTTTTTTCTTTCTCTGTTTTCTTTTTCATTTTAATTCAAACACGGAACAAATCAGAAAAGCGAACTGTCATTCAGGTTTGACAGAAAATCTGAAAAAGAAATCAAGACCGAATAAAATGGAATCAATTTTTGATGAGGGCAGGCCTTCATACACATACGCAGACACAGATACAGACACGTACGTGCAGGCACGCAAATGGACACGCGCACAGACATACACTCACTGACACACTCGTACGGATACACATGTACACGTTCACACACACATAGACGCGCGCATAAACGCACTTGCACGCATAAGCTCACACGCACAAATGAGCACATATTCATGCAGACACAAACCCGCACACAGATAAAAATCACGAACAATATTGCGCGCACGCAAATGTAGAAAGACTCGAATTTATATACACGTACATACACAATCCATGACACACACGTTAACACATGCATAAACACACACACGAATACGAGCGCACTACACATTAATAGACGCTTACATATGCACACACACGCGTGCGCACACAGACACTCTCTTTTACATATACGTGAGTGGACATACATACACTGATATACATGCAATAGAAATACACGTATTATTTGTACGATCAAGTTTCTCTTTCAAAGCATCAATCAAACTACTTCTTTCGCACAGAAATATATTCAGTTTGTATCTGGGTGTTTTACTAAAATTGTATGATCTTGGGTCAGGAATTACTGAATTAGGATAGCTTACTTGTGAACAGTAGGATCACAGTCACGGCATAAGCAATAGTCAAAAACTTGATATGAATCACATAAAATGTTTTTGCTTTCTTGTCTATGAATTAATATATATTTGATCTAAAGCAGTGAATTCGTGATTAGACTAGCGTTTCTCAAGCTTTTTTTACATTTGTGGAACCCTTGAAATAGTGTTCATGTCTCAGGGAAGTCCTACATAAAATGATTGTATACCATTATTACTATATACCTCTTTTATATTTTTATTTTAGTTCACGTGATAAAGATAATATATGAACACCATGCATGCGTTCTGTACTCGAGACAGTCAGTCAATGATACACGAATCCGCCAAGTACAGGTCTTGCCCACTAACCAGTGAAGTCGGTTTCACGCTGTCACCATATCAACAAACACGTATCTACACTTCAAAGGTCAAAGTCCTCATCGTCCCTCAGGGTGTTACAATTCTATTATCCAGCAGTTTAGGGCGCGAAATCAAAAACATCTATAGATTTCGAAATGCCTAAATAAGAGATGAACATTTCTTAAATAGGTTAACGGAGCATTGCTTTACTCTAATAGCTTCCTGAAGCTAAATACATTCCCTATGTTTATTATAATTTTAAATAATAATAAAATGTTGAAGCCTTTATTTTAGTAACCAAGGATTTTCCAACAATATGCCGTACGTGTATAATAACATTACGAATATAAACTTAAGCAAAAATTACACATAATGGCTTAGCTTATTTAAAACTGTTTCTCGCGGAATACCTAGCGACTTCTTGCAGAACCCTAGGGTCTTGAGGTACACCGGTTGACAAACACTGGGTTATTCATATAGTCTTCCCCACTAATGAGAGAAACTTTAACTGGGTACTCTGTACTTTTGACTTTCATAGATTAAACTGAAGATCATAACTCATGTCATATTGTGCACCATTTTCCTGCAATTCGTCTCTCCAAAAGCGGTGGCTGTTCCTGCAAACACGTTCTCCACATTAAATAGATCATTTTTCTGTGCAGTCTAACGCTTCTGTGTGAACTGTTGGATGTCGAAATTAACAGGAGAGTCTATTGTTAATCACGTATCCCCAGGGAAAATTTGTGATTGACACTGATGACTAAATATCAGTTTAGTAACATATAAAAGTCAACAGAATTTCCTGACTTTCATACTATTGGCGCAATCGTTAACGGTTTAATTTGGATACTAATGACAGTGATTCTCACTGGGTGTCAAATTCTTGTGGCCTTGTGTCAAATGTTAGTTTACCTAGTGTTTCATAACAGACCCATTCTGGGTCTAAATACAGTATTATATGCACAGCGCCGGGTGTGTGGCGCCCTCCAGGCTTCTCCTTCGGGAAGGGGCTAGGATTAATCAATGGCACCTGAGTTGTCCCCATGGTGAAAATACCGATGGGTCCTTAGCAATTTTTGTCTCTAGTTCCATGTTGACGTGTTATAGCCACTTTGAACCAATCTTGTGTCACATTCCGTTCGTGTGTACGTGATGATAGATATATACCATAGTACAGTTGTGTAATAGTGAGATAGTCTATTTTTACTATTATTAAAGAATAGTAAGTTAAAGCTGATGCACGGACATTTTAATCAGTAGTTGTTACCTAGGATTGATCAGCAAGTACAAACTAAGATCTGCCGATGGCAGTGTTAAAACCTGCATAAGCTTGTGAACAATTTCGATTCTTCAATTTCAAAACATTTTTTTATTTATATACAGGGTGTCCATAAATTTCGTGTGCACTTTAAAAAATTTATAACTTTATTTGTAGTTGCGATAAAAAATTGTAAGAAAGATTAGAAAGAAGTAAATCTATATTTTTTAAGGTTTTATTGAAATTTTATTTAAGTTTCCACATGTCCTCTATCATTAGAAATACAAAGGCTAATACGATTTTGCAGTTCATAGAAAACATTTGCCAACTGATTTACAGTAATGTCTGAAATCACATTAGTTATTTTAGCTATATTTAAAACTAAGTACATTAAACTTTATAAGATTTTTTACAGATTATTTCTATCGCAAATACAAATAAAGTTATAAATTTTTTAAAGTGCACACGAACTTTATGGACACCCTGTATTTATGTATATTTTATCTGGTTCTAAAATGTTGGTATTTTAAATTAATGGCATGCAGCTATACTACGTTGAAAAACCGGTTCCCATACGATCACCGAAGTTAAGCAACGTTGGACCTAGTCAATAACTAGATGACTGACCGCTTGGGAATACCAGATGTTGTAAGGTTGGATGTTCGAGTGGTGTAATATGTAACGGCTCGGAATTGGAAATCAGAGAAACGAGTTCAAATTACAGTTGGGTTTGTTACATTCACTTACACACAAATACTCAATAGTCAATATTTGAAATTAAGTTTATGAGAGTTATGTTATGTGTTATCGTTAAGCCTTTTGAGTTGGGATGTTATTAAAGTTGTAGTTATCGGAGAAGCGGCTTCAGAAAGTTGATCTCTGACATTTATCCATACGCTAACCTGATATTTATTAAACTTGTCTAACACAAAAACTGGGTATTTTTTCTTACCTTGCTCCAAACATCAGGTGTGACAAATATATTCAACGTGAATGCGATCACCTGGTCGGTAAATTTTTGGGGGATTACTTCGCTTATTCATGTTTATAGATTATTAACATGACAATAAATAATCCGAGCTGTGCTTCGTTTTTAACCAGTTTCTTTTTCACAATAATCAACAAAGCGCCTTCAGATTACCATTTGAGCATTCGTTTGAGCATTTATATTAAGTCTAAGCAGCCTCCCCCACCAGGAAAACAAACGATCTTTCCACCGGCTGACAAATCTGAGTTGAAAAGACTGATAGCAGAAAGAATCAAAATAAAAATAAAAGGAAAAACTTACCAAATTTTTTTTTAAATCTAATTGATTATTTGAGGAAAAATCATTTACAAATAAGAAACCAATTCAATAAAGTGAAACAGGATAGACTATGTATTGGAATTTGTGAAAAAGAGAAGAAAAAACGGACGACATTTTGATAAAACCAAAGACAAATCAAAAGAAAAGTCCCGGTTTCAAAAGACGTCCTCAGTTAATCCAATCTGAAGAGACCAGATATAACAGAATATACAGTAGCATAAACCTGAACGCTCTAAAGTCTATCACAAAAATGGGTCAACAATGGACCAAGTGATGAGGACAAAACTCAAACATAAGCTTTACTTGAGATTTATGCTGATATTTTGATTGTAACTTAATCTCTCCATATTATTCCAGAGTAAATTCCTCAGTTTTTCAGAGAAGTTGAAAACCAAAAGAACATCCAAAAGCAATGGCGTCTGTTACGCATAAATGTACCTTTCAAACAATAAAAGAAAGTTTTCTAAATCCTCACATGTGCAGATGTATGTCAGTTGGTTTTATTGTGCTGAATGTGGTAAAGACTATATTATAAACTAAAACCTCAACATTGTATAAAAGTCTACTTCTACCAACCTCAGCAAGCAAAAAACCCACCAGATCGGAAAGAGTTATCGATCTGTCAAACCTAATGGTGTTTGGACTGAGTGAGTGTCTTTTCACATGTTGACTCCAATTAAGCCACCTGCAATTTTGATTAGCTACATTCCTGAGTTTCGCTATTTCAGACACTAACTATTGAGTAGTTAATGGATCTCTAATCCGATATCGTTTATTTATTACTATAAACATTATATTTAGTACACTTGTTCGTCTAGTCATCTCGGTTAAATTAAATCAGTAAAAATAATATCAACCCGCCTAAAAATCGGGAAATGTACTAAAAATGTGTATCGCTACTTCTACTCTTGACACATCTGGAGTATCTGAATGACTTTCCAATTAGAGAGTCTCTTTTGAGTGACATGCATATAACTCTGTCCATTTTTTCTGCTATCATCTCTAAACATAATCCTCTCAAAACATGTAGACTTGATAGCATTCCTGCAATAGCCCTTAAGAAATTATCTTTTTAATCGTTTCCTGTTCTCTTTAAACTCCCCCAATTAATGCTTCTTCTTGCTTTCTTACTTATTGGAATTACTTTTCTGTAGTTCTAGTCTTTAAAAACTCAGGAGAACTGTTCTTGTCCTTCTATCAACCTATTATCGTTCTACGCATTCTGGCAAATTACTACAGATTCTAAACAACTCTGAATTCGTCAAGTATCTCACCTAGCAGGGTCTTTTTTTCAGATACGCATCTCTTAAATAACTCTAATACTCTTATTGTATTTTTTAATCCGACACCATTTCTTATTGCTATAATTAGTACAACCGTTCAAGTAAGCATCACCGCTTCAGTAAAATAGTGAAATTAATGTCAACCGGCCTAGAGGTCGAAAAACTTATCAAAATCTGCCTCCCTGCAGGATTATATATATATATATATATATATATATATATATATATATATATATAATAAAAAAAAAGTTTTAAGGTGTGCTATTTTTATGGGATAAAGTGCTCAATATCAGAGATAGAGCGTATGTAAATATAAAAGTGAATATTGAAGTCAACACTGACGATTGCGTCCAGCATGAAACAGCCTGTCTCCTCTGAGTGTTGACTTCAATGTTCACTTATCTATATATATATATATATATATATATATATATATATATATATATATATATATACAGAGAGAGACAGAGACAGCATATCTTCATTCAAGCATGTTTTATTAAATAATATACACATATTATGTCTATTTTATAATAATCCTTTCTAGTTCTCTAATTATCTTCTTGATGATAACTTGCAATTCACCAAGGAAGGCGCCGTAGTTCTTGTTAACCCAAGTACCTTCGATATCCTCCGAGTGTAAACGCGCTCAGTAAGAATTATTTTAAAATTAATCGTTGTGGTTACGTTGTTTTGTAAACAAGAATTTCCAATGAAAGATGTGTAACAAGAGATGGTAACATGCAACATGCTGTTAAATGTTATTAAACTCAAATGCATTTTAAAACATTGTTATAATATTCTTAAAAAATTTTCTTCAGTGTTTGTTGGTTGCTCTTGATATAGACGGCCTCGAGAATTTTAATTATTTTTATTATTTTCATTGTATAGTATATTGGTGTCGTCAACAAGGATATTCCTGTATTGTGAAGGTAGACAGGAATGTGTCTCTAAATGTTGTGCGATAGAACTTGTATCCGACAAATACAATGTAAGACGTTTTGAAACTGTTGGCAACTTATGTACTTACTTTTTTATCAGAGATACAATCTCCTAAAGGACATTTAAACTGGTATACAATGTTGGTCTTTTACAAAATACTAGTTGACGGAGGAAAGTTATTTTGCATCATTAAGTTGGTTGTGTCAAATTTAGTATAGTATATAGTTTTATTTTTTACTCGTATCATTGGGAAATATATTAGTACTTACGTTATTTTTTAGGACTTTCTCATCTCGTTTATAGTTAGAATGCATTTGATTACAGTATAGTACGTTGATATATTTAGACTTATTTGAGGAAGTATTATGTTCTTTTTTATTTATGTTACTATTTCTCATGGTTCATCTAATTTGTTTATCAAAGATGTAATTAGGAAAGTCATTATCAATGAGAGCTTGTTTAATTTTTTTCAATTCGGTGTATAAATTTCAACTCAACATCAGGAAGATAATAAGAGAACTAGAACGGATTATTCTAAAAATAAACAAACATAATATGTATGTCTCTCTCTCTCTCTCTCACTATATATATGTATATATATATATATCTCTGTGTGTGTGTGTGTGTGTGTGTGTGTGTGTGTGTGTGTGTGTGTGTGTGTGTGTGTACAGGATGTTCCAAAAATTTGACATCATTTTAAAAGCAATTATCTTGAAAAATACTAAGTCTAGCTCAATGAAATTGAACAGTTTATGTTTTGAACATTTAAAGTTTATAATGGGGCCGATTTTATAAGTGTTCAATATGTGCATGACTTTAGTAACATTATCCAGTGTGGAAGGGATTCTCTGCTTGAGTTCATCAATGACCAGTCACTTCACATATCCCAATAAAATGAAATCATACTCGGATAGCGGCAGCCATTTCATCAGAAAACTGCCTTCATCTCCACCACGCCCGATCCATCTCTCTGGCATATTCTCATTGAGATAACAAAAATTAAACATTAAATATAAAATTTTGACCTATTTCTATACATTCTGTGAAAATTTGAGGTTATATCTTCAAGAATTGCCAAAATTACTTGCCTGCCAAATGATGTCAATTCATTTGAGACATCTTATGTGTATATATATATATATATATATATATATATATATATATATATATATATATATATATATATATATATATATATATATATATATATATATATATATATATATATATATATATATATGTGTGTGTGTGTGTGTGTGTGTGTGTGTGTGTGTGTGTGTGTGTGTGTGTATTCACTGGCGGATCATAAAGTTTAACATGTTTTTCCCTTTAGAAATAGGTGATAGTAGGAAAAAATTGTTGCAACAGTCTTTCCAGTGGAATAGTGCTTACAATATTAGTATGTGTGTAAAACTAATTGAAACTGCTTTGAACGACGAGTATTTTAATAGTCTTACATAATGACATACATAAAACTACATTTATTTATATATTAAAAATATGGTTAAAGCAGCTCTGACATCCGGTTTCATTGAGTGACTCAACACTCTACTGTAAATTGAAGTATAGTCAAATGCCCCCAGAAACTCCCATATTTTGGATGAACAAAAAGTGTGTCTTTATAAAGCTGGACACCTTCGTGAAATCACCGCCGGTGTTCTACAATGGCTCAAGTATTTTCCAGAGGCAACTCTGCCAACGTCGGGATGATGGCCATGAAAATACAAATTCAAATATAAAACATAATGAAAATAAGTAGATAAACATATATCGACATATGTATATTTGGGTTGATTTATGTACAGTATTTTGCTTATAAAATTTGGCGCTGAAAAATTCTTTACTCAAAAAAAAAATGGAATCAAAACAAAATTATGAGGATTTGTCTTATACTTTGGGAATTGCGCGAGGCCCAAAACATTTCAGCATCACATAAATACATAAATCAATTATATATATAAATATATATGTGTGTGTTTGAGTTTGTGTGTGAGACGATATTATATATATATATATATATATATATATATATATATAATAATAATAATAAAAAAGAAAAAAACGCTATTATTACCAAGTAATAATTTTTTTGAGATTAACAATCATTAATCTCTCTCTTAC